ATGGACAAATTTGATGGGCACTTCAATCCAAAGAAGAATATTATTTATGAAAGAGCCAAATTTCTACGTAGAAAACAAGGACTAACAGAAACTGCAGAAGATTTTGTGACAGATTTATATTCTCTTGCTCGTACCTGTGAATGGGGAACGCTTGAAGATGAAATGTTATTAATGGTCATTATTATTGGTATGCGTGATCAAGATTTGAGTGATAAACTACAATTAGAAAATAAAGTTACATTGGAATCTGCAATAACTTCACTTCGCAAATCAGAAGAATTGAAACGACAAAAAGAAGAATTGACCCTCCCATCAATCGAAGCTGTAAATAAAAATCAACGTGCTAGATATGATAATGCAATACATTCATCCAAAAGAGAAAATAGGGATCAAGGGAGATTAACGTATTCAAGCTCAAATGTCAAGAGCTATCCCAACTCTTGTATTTGGTGTGGTTCAACCCCTTCTCATCAAAGAGGTCTGTGTCCAGCAAAAGATCGCAAATGTTCTAGGTGCAAGCGAAATGGCCACTTTTCACACTGTTGTCTTCAAAACAATGTTCGAGAAATAGACTTGGATCGTTCAGATGACTTTACCCAAATCGCTAATGAACCAGACCCATCGAAAAAATTCATTGGGTGTGTGTATTCTAGTAAAACAAAAAATGATCCCTGGACAATAAATGTAAGACTTAATGAAGACACTGTCAAGTTCAAAATCGACACAGGAGCTGACGTGACAGTAATACCATCCAACATAAAGCTAAGCAAAAAAATTGCAGTCCAGCCTACCCAGAGAACTTTAAGTGCGGCTGGAGGATCGCCTCTTTCTGTTCTTGGCACAATCACTGCAAAACTCTCTTACAAAGGACAATCGTGTATGGAAAAAATGTATGTGGCTGACAAATGCACAACACCACTACTTGGCAAACCAGCAATAGAAAAACTAAAAATAATACCGGTTATTCGTGAGGTATCGAAAACTAATTTCAACAAATCTGCTAATGATTGGATCAAAAACTTTCCTGACCTTTTCAGTGGTCTAGGAAAAATGAAGGGGAGCTACGAAATTGAACTTAAAAATGATGCAAAACCTTATGCGATATCAGTTCCTCGACGGATTCCAGTACCTCTTTGGGAAAAAACAAAGAAGGAGATTGAAAATATGGTGAATATGGACGTTATAACACCCGTTGATCACGCTACTTCTTGGTGCGCACCTATGGTCGTGGTGCCTAAGAAAGATAGAACTCAGGTTCGAATATGTGTGGACCTTACTATGCTTAATAAGAATGTGTTTCGACAAACTCATCCTATTTGGGGCATTGATTATACGATGGCTCGAATAAAAGATGCCAAAGTCTTTTCCAAACTGGATGCCAACCATGGGTTTTGGCAAATAGCTCTTGCAGAAGAATCTCAAGATCTCACCACGTTTTTAACTCCTTGGGGCCGATACAAATTCAAAGTTCTTCCATTTGGTATCACAAGTGCTCCCGAGTATTTCCAGAAACGAATTCAAGAAACCTTAGGATCTCAACGAAACTGTTTAGCTCACATCGATGCCATACTTGTATGGGGTTCCAGTCAAGAGGAACATGACTTGATCTTAAATGAAGTTTTAAATAAACTCAGAAATGCTGGAATTACATTGAATAAAGACAAATATGTATTTTCTCAGCCAGAAGTACAATTCTTAGGACATCACCTTTCATCCCGAGGGGTTCAAATCAGCCATGAAAGAGTCAAAGCCATTCTTGAGATGAAACCTCCATCTGATATAAAAGAAGTACAACGCTTCTTAGGAATGATTAATTTTTGTGGTAAATACATACCAAATCGATCAGAAATACTAAAACCAATCCATGATCTACTTAAAGAGAAAAATGAATGGTTTTGGGGAGAACAACAACAACATGCGTTTGAAAGTATAAAAAAACTTCTGACCTCAGCACCCCAACTAGCATTTTACGACCCTCGCTTACCAACTCTTGTGTCAGCAGACGCTTCTTCTTATGGTCTCGGCGGATTGCTTCTTCAGAAACATCATGATGGTAAATTCAGACCTGTTTCTTACATTTCAAGGTCACTTACAGAAGCTGAAAAATCATATTCAAATATTGAACGTGAAGCCCTGGCAATCACATGGGCTTGTGACAAGCTCAGAGACTATATAATTGGTCGAGAGATTGTAATTGAAACGGATCACAAGCCACTTGTAAAAATCTTATCATCTAAGAATTTGGATGACATTACACCTCGCTTACAGCGAATGAGGCTTCGCATGATGAGATACTCATATTCAGTGACATATACGCCTGGAAAACACCTTGCACCAGCAGACTGTCTTTCAAGATGCCCCATTCCAAGCAAGGAAACATATGACATGGAAGAAGAAATTGAAGCTTTTGTTCAAAATGTGGTTGAAAACATACCTACGACTGATGAAAACATAAACAGGTTACGGGAAGCTCAGCAAGCAGATCCCATCTTCAGAAAGATTGCAGTATACTGTCATACTGGATGGCCAGAAAAATCACAACTTCCATCTCAACTAGTCCCCTACTTCTCGGTTAAAGATGAGATATCACTGATGGACAACTTACTTTTACGCAATTCTAGAATAATAGTACCATCAAGTCTTTGTCAAGAAATGCTTCATAGAATACACGTCGGTCATCTAGGAGCCACCAAATGTCGAGAAAAGGCTAGATTCAGTTTATGGTGGCCAGGAATGGCATCAGATATAAATATGATGGTAGCTTCATGCCCAACATGCATCAAACACAGAGAAAATCGAAATGAGCCGCTCATTCCTTCCGAGTTTCCAAAACGTCCATGGAAAAAGGCAGCAATGGATTTGTTCAAGCTTAATGGCAAATGGTTCATTGTTATAACAGATCAGTTCTTGAGATATTTTGAGATTGCAACTCTACAATCGCTCACTGCATCTGAAGTTATTGAGAAATGCAAGTCAACGTTTTCTCGCCACGGTATTCCTGAAGTTTTATACTCAGATAGTGGAACGCAGTTTGGCATCACTAGTGCAGAATTCAGAAAATTTGCCAAAGAGTACAACTTTTTATGCAAAACAAGCAGTCCTCAGTTTCATCAGAGCAATGGCTCAGCCGAAGCAGCTGTAAAAATTGCAAAAGCTGTTCTAAAGAAGAACAAAGGAGATCCATATTTAGCTTTGTTGTCTTACAGGAACTCTCCACTGGCCAACGGTTACAGTCCAGCACAGTTATTATACGGACGCAGACTACGGGACAATTTGCCTACCTTACCATGTCATCTGGAGAACAAGCCAGACTTCAGTCATCTCCGAGAGAAGGAGAATCATTATAGACAAAATTACAAACGAAATTACGATCGACGACATGGTGCTCGACCCTTATCAGATATGAACCCAGGAACCAAAGTTTGGATATCTGATTTGAAACGTGAAGGAAAAGTCGTAGAAAAGTTAAACTCACCACGATCTTATAAAGTACTGACGGACAAAGGAACCATAGTTCGAAGAAACCGGTTTCACTTACAACCAATGCCAAACATTCAAAAGGAAAGTTACCACAACCATCAAGCATCAACAAATAGTCAGAAGGATCATTGCCTCAACCATCAACCATCAACAAGTAGTCAGAAGGATCATCGATCTGAGGAAGACAACGGTATGTGCTTAACAAACTTTTCAACAGATAACCGTAACAGTCAACCATTAACAAGAGGTCCGATGGATCATCATGAAGACATGCCAAACTTTTCAACGGTTCCTCCAAACACCTCTGGAATGTCTTCTGCTAACATAACAACCCGATCAAGACGACTTATAAAACCTCCCCAGAAACTCAACCTTTAAAGAGGGAGATGTAATGGTTGGCTCTACTGACTATTGTCATTTTAGTTTATTATCATGTGTTAATTGTTTTTGTTTACTTGGAGTTGATTGATACTAATAAAATACTTTTACCTAGATTATTCTATCATGATCAATTCTGATTTAATGGGTTTAATACAGATTGTGCCTTAAAGTGTGTAGACTACTCTTAAATAAACCCACCTTCAGAGATTTCCAATTAACTTAAAAGTTACCGGTAACTTGTTCTCGGGCGTAGATTGATACGATTTAGAATTAGGCCTAGTTTTTTGTTTAGTATCATTAGACCCTACCGGTAGGCTAAATACAATGAACAGGCCTAACTTAACTTATCTAGTTAATGTTACTACACAATATACTAGGGTTCAGTTTCTTAAGTTAGCCTAACTGGGGGACCTACACTACTATCGATTGAAAATATCAATTTGACTAAGTTAGTAAACCTTCATTCGCCTTTTTTAGGTTATATCAGCAAGTTTGGTTAAAGGTTATAATAAGCCTAGTTTCATTTTGTAATTGATAGGCACTAAGTTAGGCTATAGTACAAAAAAAAACGCAGAGGATAAGTTATGCGTCCGGTAACCGGACGTCGATTAGGCGTCCGGTACCGGTAGTTACTGTCATAACCTAACCAACCTAACTTGCTGATAATGAAAAAAAATTGAATGAAGGTTAAATTCTGTTCAAAAATAAAATTATAATTGCCAAAAATTCTAACAAAAGATGAAGGAAAATTAACGTAATTCCTTAAGGTAAATTAAAGAAAATTACTCAGTTAAAGAAATGGCATTCAAAGCAAAATCTTTGACAAAAAGTTAAGGTTTCGGATGGGATTCGAACCAGGTAAGTTACCGTACCTCTTGCATAGGCCTATCAGCCGAGCGCTCTATATACTTCACAACGAACACCAATGGCCGTATATCGTATCGTTGTGGTAATGGTGTTCCAGGGCCCCCACAACCCGGTGACGTCACTGCCAGACGCCTAATCCACGTCCGGTTACAGGACGCGTATCCTCTGTGTAAAATAAATCCAATGAAAGTTAACTTATTGAATTGATATTTTCAATCGATAGTAGTGTGTAGCCCAGTTAAGAAACTGTACCCATATACTAGCCAACTTACTTCATCTGTTTCATCTTCAGAGTCATCATCAGTACCCAGCTTTGTTTGTAATGGTTCATCATCTTCTGAAGCCTCTTCCTGAGGATGAAGACTAGGACTATCATTCGCTTTTACAATAATTTCTTCTTCAGAAATAGATTCTTCATCACTAATAATTAAATCGTTTTTAGCGGGGTTAGAAAAACATGACACAAGCTGGGTGAATGAATCTGGTTCTGAATCACTACTATGAAGTTCCTCAGGCCTGTTCAACTCTTTACTTTGCCTTTCAACCCCCTTGCCTGGATGGTTTGAGTAACTTTTGTTTCCTCCATGTTTATGTTTAAACACTCTTTTACTTTCTGAAGAAGTTCTAGGCCTATGTTTCCCGTTTGACTTGCCTTTAACCTTCGATTCTCCACTGTTTTTTTTATTGAATTTTCCTTTAGTAAATCTAACCATCGTAGCCTAGTTCATAAACTATAGGCCTAAATTACCATCAATAACTTTAAAAATCTTCAATTGGAAAAGATTAATTTAAGGTAACAGTCACACATTTTTTAACCGGCCTGCAACTAACTACAGTAATATTAATAAGAGCTCACCGCATTACACCTAGGACCTAGGACTAGAACACCATAACCAACCTAACCCCAAAACAAACCAGAATCAGAGAAATAAATATAGAATAGAAACCGAACTAAACCGAAACCATAACCTCAAAAATAAAGTGCTCACCAACCAACTGGCTAATCATAATCAAGCAGGATCAGTGTTGCCACCTCGTTGTTGCGATTTTACCCTAAAGGCAGGCTAAAATTACCCTAAATCTACTTTGAGTTACCCTAAAAATTACCCTAAACATAAATATTTGTGTTTAATGCTATAAAACATTGTTAAAATAATATAAATCTTACATAAGGTGTTTAATTAAACTAAATAAGGTTTCAATATCAATCAATATACGTAAAATTATACTCGATTCTCAAAAACAACCCGAAAGAAGGACAAAATGTTGATATTCAGCGCTCTATCGTATGTATGAAAAATATCGAATCAAGAATTATCATATTTTTTACTGTATCGATCGACCCATTACTAGCCTATACTTTTTTTTGGACAATCATACCTTTATAATACAGTACGGTACCATCAAAGCCTTGATCTATAAATATGGCAGTAATTTTTTGACACAGTTCGTAAAATAATCCCAGTGTAATTCAATTCAATCACATAATTAAATATCAAAAAGTAATGAATAATATTTAATATTTTATTATAATGTGTTATTGACTCAAATACAATCTAAAACATATAATTCACAACTGATAAGATCGATTAACTTATTATGAAAAATGAATCATAGCATTTATTTAAACCGGTTGAATCGAATGACAGTTTGGCAATAATATGTAATGTACATTTTTTGCCAAATGTTCAAGTTTTTTTCATGTTTTTGGTTAAATTTCCATTGTTATACTAACTTTTTGTTTTACCCTAAAATTACCCTAATCTACCATTACCCTAAACTTTACCCTAAGACTAGTAAATTACCCTAAAAAAGGGTAATTACCCTAAAAGTGGCAACACTGAGCAGGATACAGAATTTTAAAAAAATGACCAGGTGGTAGGTTTTTTTTTACATTTTAACCACTTTCTTGTTTGACATGAAAAGGCGTAGCTTTTAACTATGCAACCCTGTTGTTTAGCTTTCGGTTCCTTCCTGACAAAAGATCTGTTTAGTTATTCTTGGTTAAAGAACTTGAATTAAAGTAATGACACCGTACACCAAAACGGCACGCGGAAGATTTCTCAGGTGCCGTTTGACGTCACTTTGATGGAACACCTGAACACCATTACCGCAACGATACAGTTCTGAGCCATCGGCCTCGGTGGTACATATAGTGAACAGCGTGACGGGCTGAAAATCCGAATGTACCGGGTTCGAATCCCGTAATTACTTATGTATATCGGCCGTACTGAAAATTTTGCATCGCCGTCAAGAGGTCCCTTTTCGCTTTCCACATCACATTTATTGTTGTTACGTATTACCATGTTAAATTAATCTGCTTCAAAATCAATTCTTGCATTTGCATAAGTACCTGGTTAGACCACAGACAATGGAAACCATAAGTAAAAGTATTATATTGTCTGTGGGTTAGACTTTCACCTCATTGTTCTTGTTGATTCTCGTTATGTTTGTCATTGCTATTCTTGTTATTATTGTATAGTGCTATTTTTTCCAATCATTTTATTATTGTTATTATATTTTCACAGTGCAATCTGCCAATATACAGGGTGAATTTTAAATGAGTTCCCCCCCTACTTTTTTCTACATTTCTTAAGATATCATCTCCGGACCACGTCAGATCATTGTTGAGTAGTAAGTACTTCATTTTGACTGGGTTTACATTTTTGGCCGCCATCTTGGATCCGCCATATTGGATACAAAGTTTTTTTTTCAAATGTAAAGGTAGGGTTGTGACCCATTATTTCAAACAACAATTTTACGCTGATTACAATGCCGCAATTCGTTTTTAAAAATCTTGATCCGTTCTAAAGTTATGAGGAGTTTTTATAACTTTATTTTTAGCCCATTTTAACATTGTGCATTAACAAAATAAGCCCATAATCTCAAAATAGTGTTAGATAAAGATAAGTATACACCACCATTAATTGTCGACATATTTTCACTTGGTTATGACGGATGTAAATTTTCCAGCCGCCATCTTGGATCCGCCATTTTGAAATGTGATCAATTAATTTAAATATGAAGGTGGTGTTGTGACCCATCATTTTGAACTACTTTTTTATACTGGACTCAATGCCGCAATCCGTTTTTGGTTATCAAGCTTTCTTGATAAAATATTAAAATACTCTTATTTAAAATTTCAATATTTCAAAATCCAAAGATGAAAATGAAAAACGGATTGCGGCATTGAGTTCAGCATAAAAAAGTAGCTCAAAATGATGGGTCACAACACCACCTTCATATTTAAATTAATTGATCACATTTCAAAATGGCGGATCCAAGATGGCGGCTGAAAAAACTACATCCGTCACAACCAAGTGAAAGTATGTCAACAATGAATGGTGTTGTATACTTATCTTTATCTAGCACTATTTTGAGATTATGGTCTTAGTTTGTAAATGCACAATGTTAAAATGCGCTAAAAATAAAGTTATAAAAAGTCCTCATAACTTTAGAACGGATCAAGATTTTTAAAAACTAATTGCGGCATTGTAATCAGCGTAAAATTCTTGTTTGAAATAATGGGTCACAACCCTACCTTTACATTTGAAAAAAAAACTTTGTATCCAATATGGCGGATCCAAGATGGCGGCCAAAAATGTACACCCAGTCAAAATGAAGTACTTACTACTCAACAATGATCTGACGTGGTCCGGAGATGATATCTTAAGAAATGTAGAAAAAAGTAGGGGGGGAACTCATTTAAAATTCACCCTGTATATTATTGTAATAATGGCGTTTCCGTATGAGATAAATAAATAAATAGAGTAAGTCTCTTATATTTTTTCAACACAACACAGTAACTATGCCATTTTTGTTAATAACTGTTTCGTAAATACAGTAATTGTGGGTAAACGGATAGACATAATTGACTTCGCGAAGCACGATATATCTCTAACCAAACCTGGTACTGAAAAAACCTCTTAGTTTTGTTGGAAATTTTCCCCCTTTTCATTCATTGGTAGAAATTGGTTTTAGTTCACCTTTTTGCTATCGGAGTGCAGTGCGTGTGTTGTTGTTGGCCTGTTTACGAAACTTAAGAGTATAATGCAATTGTGACCTGCTTGCAACATTGAGTGGAGAAAACATATTAATCCAATACATTTAAGAAATGTAATCATGTTTTGATTGTTCCCAACGAGATTGAGTTGAAAAAAGTCAATAGTGATGCAATATGATGATGTATTAAGCTCTGATGGTGTATACATAGTCTGAAAAAGTCCAAAACATGTATTGCAAACTCTAATGTAAACGTGACTGAAGAGTATGCCCAAAGTGTTAAGTGTTAACACAAGTTATATGGAGCATATGTGTACGTCATATTACATTTCCATCGATTTCCATCTATATGGACCAGCTGTAGCAATTCTTTTATTAAAAAAGAATGTAGTTGTGTGAGCCAGTCACAGAATGCTCTATTGACTAAAATTCTATTTTATACCTTATTTTTTGTTAATGACCAGGTTAACAGTTGCTTAACTCATCATAAGTAATTCCCTAAGTTTGACTTGGTTAAACAGATTGTGTATTCGGCAGAATTTAGATCAGCGCATTCTGTAGGTGGCTCACATCAACTACGACGATTTTGATAAAAAAAACTGGCTATAAATTTAACGTGGGGATGGAAAAAAGATCATACTTAATAAATGTACAAAATATTTATATTTGCACACATTTTTAAAATTTTCCGTAAAAATAAATTATACTCTGAACCAAAAACCAGTCTATACGACAACTTAAATGAAAAAAAAACTATACATTGTAACTTTGCTATAGTTTATGATAATTTTATTTTACATTATGAGAAGAACAGTTGTGTTATTTAATTGACACAGAATAGCAAAAGCTTGTGTTGGGACAGTACTTTACTTTTATGACAATCTGCTGCTAGAATCATCAAAAGTAATGAGATTATGTCTTTTAATGTGTTGCAGCTGAGAACATGTCGTAGGAGTACTCAACAAAGTATCTGAGCTGTGTATTATGTTTCCATGAATGTTTAAGAGGAATTTAAACATAACTTAAGATATTATTAGGCACTCAAACAAATTCCGTATCTCTCGCATCAAATTCCTTAAACGCATTTATTTGACTAAAAACTGACCCAACAAAAGCTTTTGAAATTTATAGTTTTTCTGTATGGGTATATTTAACTATGGACGACGGCACTTTGCTTGTAAATGCTAGCGTTAATAAAAACCACATCTGCAATAAGTTGTTAACATCTTCAACAGTTCATTATGAAACGTAATTAAATATTTTCACAAAGAGTGAAGTAATTACTAATTTCAAATTGACTCTGTAAGATACGCTGGAAAAGAAAACTCTTGACCTAATCTGTTGGCTCAATATATTTATTCGTCAACCAGAGGCACTGAACACTAAACGTTGGTCTGTTATGTCCGACCTCATCTAGAGTATGCATCTATGGTTGGTCACCTCAGCATAAGTACCTAAAAGAACTGATAAACATGATCCAAGCCAGATATAATAGACTGATGGATTTGCTAATCAACTTGCCGTTCGTGGACGTTTGACAAAGTGACAATACCAAAAACCCCTAGGTCAGTCCCTTCAGGTTCCTGAAGTAATGTAAGAAACAAGCCCGAGCTCGTGCCTAGCTTATAAGGGGAGAAAATCGATTGTATTGAAAGCCTTATGTTATTTATATAGAAAATCTTGTGTGGTATCAAACTGTACTAAATAAGTATTTCTTTGATTTGAAAAGCAAATAAAGTACGTATATGAGCAAACCCCTCTGCGTTGTTCTTAATGGGAAGCCTGTTGCCGCTCTACGCGCGTTCCTCGCCGGGGGTGCCGCCTTTGTACAGGGTTCGTACCTTCACGCAGAAGACAAGGTGCAATGGCGTCAGTCATCGTGGAAACAAACTTATATCTTATATCATCTTACTATTTAAGAGTAATCCAATTTTAGTTTCCTATTTTTAATTTAATAAAGGGCATAAACAATTTTACACCTGCTTAGGTATTACTTAATTAACAATACAATTGACAATATAATATAATTAACTAATAATTTAATAACAAATAATTGACATTTTTCATTAAGATTGAATGCAAAGCTTACCTGGCAACGCCACACTACTCATGTTGTTTCTAAGATCTCCCTAGTCTGCTTTATGTTGAAAAAAGATATGCATCTCGGATAGTATGCTCATTACTGCTTATTACAGTTCTTCCACTCCCATCTTTTATATGGAAACATTCTGTGGGGTAATAGTGCTGGAGCCAGGAAGGTTTTCACATGGCAGAAAAAAGCACTAAGAATAATTTTGATATCCCACGCAGAACCAGCAATCAAATTTAACTATCACATTTTAACTATAATTACCTTTACACATTTTAGTACCAATTAATAGAACGCTATAGCTTTATAGACGTGCTGTTTGATGATAAGATAATCCATTCTCAGGTCTTCACCCAATCCGATTTCATTTCTAACCTCTCATGTTAGTTGATTGAATTTAAATTTTTGTCTACTTGTCTACTAATCAATTCCTCAATTTTTTACAACAGATTAATTTTTTAATTATTAAAAGTGGCTTTTGCTTAACTTACTTCGGAAATACTTTACCAGTAAGTTCCAAACTATTGTCTATGTTCGTTAAAAGTACCTATAAATGCTATAGTGTCGCTGCTATTTGTCTAGTTTTTGTAATTTTAATAACTGCCGACAGGTGTTAGTACAGCAATTGGTTCAGATGTAATTTAGTCTCATTCATGATAGTGTTATGGCTCTGGTGCTGACTCTAGCAGTGATATCAGTGTTCGCGCCTACATGTGCGATACGTTCGGATATCAGACCTATAGTATGTACTTAAAGCTGCTTAAGATATTGATTAGTAACCTAGCTTAGACGTTGACTATCCACCACATCAATATACTAGGTGTACAATAGACTAGTAAATAATACGGTATTTTGTATTTTGTTTCACTTTGTATTGTTGTAATGACTGTTAAATCATTCAATATTACCTGAAGTATTATAATATACCCCCGCCGCAGCAAACCTGCCGACTAAGCGAATTTCCATTTGTCTGAATTGATTTTCAGTTAAATATATTTTAATAACATTAGGTTTAACGAGTACCTAGGTTTGCTGCTACAAGGAAACTAATAAAGTGTGTTTTTGAGTAAAATATTGATAGCTTAGTACAAAATAAATAAATTTGCCAAGTTTGATCAAAATATATCCATAAACAAGCAAACTACAACATTTTACAATATTCTCCATAAGAATAACATGGGAATTTTAAATTTACAATTTTTTTAATTTTCTCCGTTACTAATAATCAAACAAAACTACTTTTATATACTAAATTATTTGTTTTTTTAAGCTCTTTAAAGAGGTCTAAAGAGAAATCGGGAAATTTTGTGTTTTGAGGGTCAAAAGTGAGAAAAACCAATTTTTACCCCATAAAATTCCCCGTAATGCCCCGTTCCCATGGTCGGATCGTGCTGGTTCGCGAACTCATTCAAGTTTATCCCGCTTTACACCTTTAAACCAAATTTCATCAAAATCGGAAAAAAATACTCAAGTTATCGCGTTCACGGACGTATATATATAAGTCTATATATATATATATATATATATATATATATAAGTCTCTCTATACTCAAGTTATCGCGTTCACGGACGTATATATATATATATATAAAAGTCTATATATGTATATACATACATATATACAAATTTGAACGAATGGTGTTTTTGGCCTCTGGGGACATCAAAATGAAAAAGTAAATCGGTCCCGGGTCTAGGTCTTCCCGTGCCACCTACGGTAATAGCTTCTTCCCTAAAGGGAAATTCGCTAAAACTAAGTTTACTTTTATTTATACATGTACTTATCTCATTCTTTAAAAACTCTTTTCTTTTTTGTTCTTGTTAAATGTTACAATATAAGCCATCCTTAGTTTTGTACTGATTTGATTTGTATGGATGTAAAATGGAGATGTCTGTTCGAATAAATAAGTGAATAAATGCAGGTGAAGCATAGTAGTTTAAGCTTATTATTTTAGCTAATAGTAACAACTTCCTCCCATGTAAACATATTAATTGCTGCAGACGCTACAATTTTGACAGTAAACATGTGTAACACGAGTGAAAACTGCCTTTGCTGCACTCGTGAAACTTAACTCGAGTAAACATTTCTCTCGTGTGCAGCAAGACTACTAAGAGAAGAGTTACTTATTGGAGTGTTTGGCCCCGTGACAGGGAGACGTTGTGAGAGAGTTCGGCTACGACATGGAGGCCCACACGATACACACCTCTGATGGCTACATGTTGACGACACACAGGCTGTTGGGGCGTAGCCGAGAACAAACACACGCAGAACCTGTGGTGCTGGTTGAGGGGATGCTACAGTCATCCGCTTCCAACCTTGCTAAGGGGAAGGGAATTGGTAATGCAAATATATCTACGGTCCTTAAATAGGTGAACTCCCCAATCCGTAGAAATAACATTAGTACGAGGGCTGATCAAAAATCAAGATATTCAACGAGTTCTATTTATAAACAAGTGAGTTATTTCAAATCTGAATCCAGCGCAGTGCTCTTTGAACCCCTAAATACAATGCTAGTAGATTTGTTCTGCTGTATTATGATTGGTCTTGATAAAGAGAGAGAAAATAAAACGGACGTGTCGGTTATCCCTTATAGCGTTATCGGCTTCTACGATGAGACTTATCGTAGCACAGGGGTAGACAAATACTAGTCAGAGAAGTAAAATATACACCGCTTGTGTTAGATTCAAACAAGCTTGCTTGGCTGTGACTGGAGCTATTTCGATACATTTATAAATTTTCAAACCACCCTCATAATATTCTTACAGAATAAATAGTAACTTTTTGTATATGAGTTTATTTACTCGAATTACTGTATAGCTTGAATTATATACCCCATAATTCTTTTTTTTAATTTCCTCTCAATCTTAAACCAAATTTAAAACTTCATATCAGCCAGTGACGACGTCTCAACAAATTCTATAAGCACCCTAATGAGTTTCGCCAACAGTTTATAAATAGATTTTACCATTCGATAGTGTACGATTCCTCAGTATTTAAACCAATAGCCGAGTAGGTTTGATGTATGAGTCATTGTCATGCCTGCAGCGTACTCTCTGGTGGACCAAGGATTTGACGTGTGGTTGACCAACTACCGCGGCAACCTGTACTCTCGCCAACACGAGACCATCTCACCTGATTCACCAGCTTTCTGGAATTTCACGTAAGCATATCTTACAATTTTAAGATATATTGTGTAATATTTTTACATAAAATATTTGCGGTATCAGTGTTTTTCACTGTCAAAAATATTATTTTAACATTTTATTTTATGGATCCTGAAACGAGATTTTACCAAAGGTATTCAATGTTATCCACGTGGTCATTTGGAGATTTGCTGCCATGCGTGGCTCTAACCTTGAAGAAGATTACCCAATCTTCAATGGCTAAATTATAATATTCTGGTTTCAAATGATAATGCAAATGAATAGAGGTTTCGTTCTTAAATCTCGTTTGTCCCTATTCCACTGTGTATTACACGTGTTTCAGATAACAAACGGCTTTATAGGTGTACAAAGGGGAGGATACAGTGATTGACAAAGAAGATTTAGTTTGAAGTGTGCAAGTATATAAAAGGTAGTACAGAGATAAGCGAGTTAGAGAACAAAAAAAATTAAAACATTTGTAGGACATTTTATATAGGCTAGGTATTCAAAGTTAAATTTTTCATTTAAATGATAACCGTTGATGACGATCAGGTTGCACGAAATGGGTACAAAGGATCTGCCTGCAACGATAGACTACGTGTTGACCCATACACAACATAATCAACTGATCTACCTGGGGTTCTCCATGGGTACGACCATGTTCTGGGTGCTCGCCTCCTCTCTGCCCCAGTACCAGAACAAGGTGTCAGTCATGGTGGCGGTAGACCCCGTGGCGCGCCCCTCCAATATGCGGCTTCTCAAGAACGATTTTTCTCGTACAACAATCTATGCTTTGTTTGTAAGTCTATTGTTGGTTTAGTAGCTAGAAGCCTACCTTTATCCTCATCCATTTTGGTAAAATATTTCTCTGGCTCCACAGCTTATATTGCATGGTTTAGTTGAACTTAAGGAAGCAAAGAAGTCAACTATATTTTTAGATTACTCAATGGATCCCAAACTCTTATTCACAAATAGGTCTCTCCATCAAAAGAATATTAACATTTAAGAAAATCATAGGTGATTAAAAAAACAATAAATACAAAAATTAATGACGTTGTTCAATGTTTAATTTAACAGTGACAAATATTTTCCACGTCACTTCTATATACACTCAATCACATAATCGATTGCATATTTACTTGTTTACACTGAACGAGTAGCGGGGTATTTCCGTAGGTACAGTATTATTATCATAGAACTAGTTCCTGGCATGGTGGCATACAGTGGAGTACAGTATTATTATCATAGAACTAGTTCCTGGCATGGTGGCATACAGTGGAGTATAGTATTATTATCATAGAACCAGTTCCTGGCATGGTGGCATACAGTGGGGTACAGTATTATTATCATAAAACCAGTCCCTGGCATAGTGGCATACGATGAAGGAAACCCATAATATATAATTTTTAACTTTTACAGAAAGATGTGTTAGGGTAAGTTCTTGTTGAAATTTGACCTGTTAATGAGTTTTATTAACTTAATGTGGTTAAATCATATCAGAAGTTGATAAAAAAATAAAAATTACTACTCATAAGGATGCCAAGTAAAATGTTCCTACTATTCGGTTAGTACAAATGACTTAAGATAAATAAGATTTGCAAGTCCCCATTTAGATGGAAGGGCGGGCTGGTTTTCGGTGGTTCATTTTTATACTAAGGTCTTTGTATACTGTACCTCAATTATAACCTAGAAATATAGTATTTTTAGTAAAAACAATTTTTCGATAAAACAGTTAACTATTTTTGTTGATACCTATTACATTCATTTTCTCAATATTATTTTATCTATTTTTTTTTGTAGAAAACTTTATGGACACTAAAGAAGTGTGAAGTTATGTCCTATGGAGATACAACATCTTCCATTCTCAGCCGTTTGTGCAGTGGTAAATTCAGATTTACCTGTGAAAGATTTGTTGATAAGATGAATCGCTTCCAAAAAGAGGAGATGGAAGTCGTAAGTCTCATAACCTAGCCTAACCTAACCTATCCTAAGATGCAATGACGAAAAAGTACAATTTTCAGCCATGTTACAAGCTAAACAACAAGGTTGATTAAGAAATAAAATACAAGTACCTATACAAAGTATTAACTTTACATGAACTTCAAGAATTATAAGATGTAACTTTTGTAGAGCTTCTGAAATGTTTATCGATACGCCGAGACTTTTTTCACCTAAATCCTAGTTGACATTTGTTTCCCTTTGAATCATACTTTACATAAAATGCCGGATGCGAATCATCTTTACTTTTATAAATGGGTTGTTCATAATGAATTTATATTATATAAGCTGTGTACTGGTGGACTTTAGAGATCTCGAACTCGAACCTTCGGAAAGCTTGTCTGAAAGCCAGACGTGCCGCTATGAGGGCCAGAAGATTCCCGGATTTCGAGGCTAAGTCAGCGGCTTATAGGGCTGCGAAGAAAGCTCTTCGTCGGGCTATCATCAGGAGCAAGGTTAGCTGTTGGAGGAGGCTTCAGGAGGATGTTGACTCTGATCCTTGGGGACTGGGCTACAAGGTTGTAACCCAGAAACTCGGCGCCCGATCACCACCTTCCGTCATAGAGGGCACCACCATGGACAGGATCGTCACCGCCCTCTTTCCGTCTCATCCTCGGCGGCCTTTTTTCGACTATGGCGAGGTAGGGGACATTCCACTCTTTAGCATTAAAGAGCTGGAATCATCTGTCCTCTCCCTGAAAAATAGAAAAGCACCTGGTCCTGATGGTATTCCCAGTGAGGCTCTCAAGAAGGTATTCTCAGTTAATCCCCTCTTACTGCTGAGAATGTACAACACATGCCTGTGCGAAGGGGTTTTCCCAACTCCTTGGAAAAGGGCTAGGCTTGTGCTAATCAGCAAGAGGATAGGTGACCCGAATATGCCGTCGTCTTACAGACCCCTCTGTATGTTGGATGTGGCCGGAAAACTCTTCGAGAAACTGATCCGCTGCCACCTGACGTCTGCCGTGGAAGCTGCCGGAGATTTGTCTCCTCGTCAGTACGGTTTCAGAAAGGGTCGGTCAACAATCGACGCGATATCCGAGGTACACAGAGCGGTAGAGCGTGCCGAGAGCTTCAATCATTACTCTCGCCGTATCGTGCTTCTTGTTACGCTAGATGTCAAGAATGCTTTTAACTCGGCGAGATGGGTCGATATGTTGAGCGCGTTGAGGAACAGCTTCCGCGTACCAGCATATCTGTTGAGGCTGATCGAGGACTACCTGCGCTGCAGAACTCTTAATTACGAAACTAAAGATGGTTCGCGGACGATGGATGTTACTTCCGGTGCCGCGCAAGGTTCGATACTCGGCCCAGATTTGTGGAACGCTGCCTACGACAGCCTTCTGAGATCTGAGATGCCAGAGGAGACCGTTTTAGTTGGGTACGCCGATGACGTCGCAGCCCTCATTGCTGCACGCAACGTTGAGCTAGCCCAACTGAAACTGAACCAAGTCATGCGCGTTGTAAACGCCTGGATGACTGATCATGATCTGACACTCGCTCTGAGCAAGACAGAGATCGTCATCCCCACGAAAAAACGGATTGAAACCATCGTTCCGCTACGAGTTGGGAACGTAGTTGTCCAAACCACGCGAACCGCCAAGTACCTTGGTGTCATGGTGGACAACAAGTTGAGCGGGAGGGACCAGATCTTCCGTACGGCGGACAAGGCTGATAGGAGTGTCGCTGCTCTTAGTAGGCTTATGGCCAATGTCGGTGGTCCCCGGTCCAGCCGTAGAAGACTACTGATGTCTGCAGTCCAGTCCGTGCTTCTCTACGGCTCTGAGGTGTGGGCAGACGCGCTTAACAAGGAGGCGTATAGGTTGAGGCTCGCACGAGTGCAGCGTCAGGCGGCACTCAGGGTCGCTTCCGCGTACCGTACGGTGTCCGAACCGGCCGTTTTGGTGATCGCTGGAGTTATCCCAGTCAAACTCTTGGCAGCGGAGAGGAAGGCAATCTACCAGAGACAAGGCTATATCGGAAAGGACGCTGCAAGAACAGAAGAGCGCTCCCGCACTTTTCAGATGTGGCAAGAAAGCTGGGAAAGGGAGACTCGAGGACGTTGGACTGCCAGACTCATCAGGCAGGTCCAACCGTGGGTAGAACGGCGGCACGGTGAGGTTGACTATTACCTCACGCAGTTCTTGTCAGGTCACGGCTATTTTCAGTCGTACCTGCACTTGATGGCCAAAACGAATTCACCTGACTGCATTTACTGCCCATGCATTCCCGACGACGCGGAACACACTTTTTTCCGCTGTCCACAATGGGATATGCTTCGCCAGGAGGCCATTCAACATCTTGGGGTGCTGTCGATTGAATCGATCTGTGAGACCTTGCTGAAGGGTGAGGACAACTGGGACTGCTGGTCGCACTTTGTCCGGAATGTCCTTCAAGCTAAAAAGAATGATCTAGATCGGAACATAGTCTAGATTTGATAAGAAATAAACGGCTAGACACGGCGTAAGCCCCTCGGGCGTAGGCAAACTCGGCCTAGTTCTGATGAAGTGTGACAAGTGTTCCCAGGCTAGTGTCCGAAGAGTAGAGGAGGTTTTTAGTGGGTAGTCTCTGGGCCTTAAGCCCGTTGGAGTCCCACACTACAGGCTAGCAACCTGTGTGCATAAATGCATTTTCCCACCTCTCCCTAAAAAAAAAAAAAAAAAGAATTTATATTATTTATGTATGGTGTTGATCGTTTGAATATAAGTCATAAGGGTTCAAATGAACATCTGAACATCTGATTTCACAATGAAATCAGATAATAAAATTAACGAGAGGTCGTCCAGTGGTCGAAACTCGACCAAAAATATGTAATGTACTCACTTCTCTATTTTCACCCCACACTGTAAATAAAACATGTGATTGGAGTTTCTTCCATTTTGTTTTGATTTTCTGTTTATATTTCGTTGTTATTTCGTCACCAGCATGGCAACGCATAAGATCCATGTTAATTTTTTCAAATTTGTAAACTCATTTTTTGTGCTTATCTTTGAGCCTATTTAAATTTATAAAGGGATTCTGCACACCTACAGGAAAATAGCTTTCTAACGGTATGCGTAGATTTACCCCACGATGCACACAAGCTGAGAAAAAAGGTTTTAAAGAAACATGCTTGCCTATTAATATATAGATAGATAATTAATAATTAATAAAATTAGTAATTGCAAAAATAAATTACCATTGATTAGTTGTGCATTTTTCAAATTCAAAACACGCCATTTTAGTCTTGTTGGACTTTTTCGTTTTGAAGTTTTCGTTAAGTCTTAGCTAATATTCTCATATTAGCTAAAAACTATGATAGGATAGGTTCTTGACTATCCTATCATAAATTTGCATATGATTTTAAGTCACTCTAAGTTTTACATATCAATCTATTCCTATATTTCGCTGTAGGACGCTGCATTCAAAATGATCCCTTATTCTCCAGCCGGAATCTCAGTTAAAGTGATTCTTCATTTCATCCAAATTGCTTGTGCAAGTATGTATATTAGATTATTAGGCAAATAGTGGCTAATATCTCCAATGATTACCGTTAATGTGTGAAATGTTTAGATGAGTTAGCATGGCAGTAATTTTAACCCCTACAAATAAATATCATACCAATGTAACAAATTTAGTGAGAAGAATTTAGCCAAATTTAGCAATTTTTTAGCTTTACCAAGAAAAAGAACAGGCTATGTTTGTAGGCTAATTTTCCAAACTTAATGTACGTTTTTTTAACAATTGACTATTTTTGTAAAAAATTTAGTTCATTACTTTCTATACTGCAGCACTACCAAACAGCTCTACAGTACAGTACTATCACTAGCAGTAATTTTCTAATTTTAAGTATATATTTATCTATTCGTTTAATATGACTTATATCAATTAATATTTAATATTACTTTATCAATTACCTTGTTTCGTCATTGTGTACTCATATAGTTTCTGACAACTAAAATACGTAAAAAGCTTACTTATTTAAAATTGGAAATTTGGTGGTTCTGAGGTAATTGTAATATGCATTTTCCTCATAAAACTCCAATATATTTAAAAAAGCCGATTAGAATTTAGAAAACCTCTTTGCAGAAAGTCTTTAACACAAAAAAACTTAAAAAAAACTTTACGACTTACGGATAGGCATATAATAAGGTTCCTTTTTTGGGAACCCTGTGCAGAACGGTTCCAACAGTTCGACTACGGCTCCAGAGGCAACAGGCAAATGTACGGTTCTACGCAGCCACCACAGTACGACTTGCAGAGGATCCAGCTGCCGGTCTATTTGGTCTACAGCGACAAAGACAAGGTCGCCACCAAACAGGTCTGATCAAACAGTCTTAACTGGCCGTATCCCGCCGTAGTAAATAATTTACGTTGTAGGTCAATCTACAATACATCACTATGATTACGATAACTTCCCTTCAATCGTAAGCATGAGAAAAAATACTTACATGCATGTGTGTATGATCATAGACAAATGTATGATACATTCCTATACTAAGAGCAAAAGTCCATTACAAACTCACTTTTGTAATGGAAATTAACAATCTTAACGATCTTAAAGAATTGATGTGAAAGAAACATAAAAAATATGGTGAAATGTATAATTAAATTTAAAAGTTCAACAAGGCCAATATATAATAAATTATTTTAATCCACAAGCGCTTTCAGAAACTATGTTTCCATCGTCAGGCTGTGTTTAATCAGTTTAAATCTACTTTGATATAATTATAATATAACAGGTTTTCAGGATATAGAATGGTTAGCCGATCAACTGCCCCGTCGGCCAACAAGAAAGATTGAGTCAGTTAGAAACTTCAGTCATTTGGATTTCAGCCTCAATTTCGATCTAAGAGCCCTATTCCAATTTGAGAAGTGTGAAATGAAAAAGTGCTTTGTTGTACAAATTACATAATATAGTCTACCTCCATATGTACAACATATACAACACTAACTTGCACATACAATAAAATACATAAGTACTGCTAAAATAAAAACCTAACACTTATTAAACAATGGTCAATGTTGACCGTCTGTTTGGTTGGCAACATACATACCTTCTCCTAACAAAAAAACAATTCCAACTGTACAGTAATATAAAAGATTAAAAAAAACAATCATTTATACACTTTTAACTTCATTTACAAAAACATTTTTATATATATATATATATATATATATATATACAAGGAAAAAACAATTAAATAAGTAACGTCTAACTATGGTATATGCAGCAGAGAGTCGTATTAAAAATTAAATTCTTGGATTAAATCCCATCTATAAAACCAAGCCTCCCTTAAAAATTTACAGAAAAAACTCTAATCCTCCCCATTTAAATATGAAATAAACTCAGCTTGAGCCAAGAAATGTCTACCCAACCATTTAAATCTAATGTTTTTTAAAATTGGACATTCTGCTACAAAATGAAATTTGAGAAGTGTGACCTTTGCACGCAGGCCCTATTGTATAATATTATGACCATTTTGTTTTTGAAAGAAACATACACTCTTCCTGAAAAGAGAGCAATGCGATATTTTTTTTGATGAAATAAAGTATTAATTGCAGGCTCCATGTATCCAGATATCTATTAAGTTACCATATTGTGCACGAAATATCGGTTTAGAACTATTAGATAGACGATTCCGCACGATTGGACTCATTGAAAGCATTATTAATATTTTATAAGTGGGTTTTGAAGGACATGAGTTTTTTGGTAAATAATTCTTGTATTTGACTTTCCGGATTTCGTTTATTGTTTGCACGGAGACCTAAAAAGGCTCCTAGAACCGTCTGTTATCAGTATATGACGATTTAGTTGGGAATCGGATCAAGTTGTTCATCTGAGGTGCGAGCACTGAAACTGTGGGTATTGTTGGTGCAGTTGCGAAATATCAATCACTTATTGACAGTTAGAAAAAAGTATAACTGTATAAAATTATTAGTCTCAAATTATTGTTTATTGGGTAACTATTGTTACCATCAATACGGAACTATCAATAAACAGTATTTAACAAGCAAGAAACAATAGGGTTGGACGAAATATCAAGTCTTAAATGTTACGCAAATAATTTAAAGTATGTATAAGATTAGATTTGGCAATTGTCATTTCCGATGTAACAATGATTAAATAATGCTATTTGCAAACAACAAAGCAACAATTAGGAGAGCATGTTTAAGTATTATTGGGACGCCAGTAATGTCAGAACCGCTCTCCTGCCAGACAGTATTCGTCTTTCGCCATTTTTATTAAATGTCTCGTATTTACATAATGGCAGTAATATGAGCGTCATCCATCTTTATTTCCTCACTGCTGAGTTATTCAATATTCCGCCAGTATTCATCGAACAGTGATGGATGCTGTGAGACGTTGCATCACACCCTTCCATCCCGCTTGTGTACAAATTATTTCGAATATATTCTGTATCTATCGATCATATCGAAGTGTTAGATTATCCTAATAAGAAAATATTGAATTAAAAGTCAACAGTCGATTGTAAAATTAATATTTGATAAAATTAAGTAATGGCTTAGAGGCTTGTTCCAAGTTTAACTGAAACCAGAAGATTTTTAAGCTAAAATGGTCCTTTAAAATAATATTAAACGAGTATTTTTAAGTTAGTATTTGTGAATGTACGAAAATCTACAACCATGAAGATCGTTACTGATTTTTTTATTTTAGCATTTGTAGTTTTTACTGCTAAGGCAATTTTTATTTATATACAATTGTAATCAATCAAAATTTAGCAATTACAAACTGAGTAAATTAGGTATAGCCTTATAAGCCTTCTACTTTAAAAATATATACTTAATTGTATTTGAATAAATGAAAATTCGTTTACCTCGTTGAAACATCTTCCCCTTACTTAAATAGATTTGCTTCAAATCATCAACATTTCCCATCGAATTTACTGCAAGTAATTCCTATGTCTTGAAACTCTTTACCTTTTGAATGGACAAAACTTCTCGTTAATGTTTTAACACACATTTATGAACTAAGTGTTTGAAACTAGCTGTTGACGTTTGTTAAGAGGTTAAAATGTTGATTGAGATAATGATAAAAAACGTGCATTTTCTTTACACTGTGTTATTGTTATATGTAGTTATTTAGAAAGAATTCAGATGTATGTTGATGATTGTATTTTCGACAGGGTATGGCATCAAACGGCTATTTTAAAACTGTTGCTTTTTTAGAAAATACCAAGTTTGTTAATTGGTAGACATAACAAAAATGCATTATGTGAAACCACGTTGATTGCCATGATAAAAATTGAATTACATTTTTACGCTAAATGTATTTATTTTTAAGGAATGGTGTGAGAAGTCATCTGGTCAAACCATTTGTAATATAAAATGAAAAGCAGCTATTTTTAAGTGAAAGATCTTGTCAAGACACTAAATCGCTTCTGCTTCAGTCAGCGCCCATCTGATTAAACTCACTGATAAAAATGATTTATTTTGTGGGATTTAAAGTAATCTTCTCATTTTCTTGGTCGATAACATCCTAACTCATTAAGATTACAGGAAAAATGTTAATTGCACCATAAGTTTATGAGTGCGTTGATATGAAAAATAATATATTCACTTGAGAGAATTGTTGTAAATCTATCTATCTTACTATTAAGAAGAGGTGGCATCTGTCTGTCTGTCTGTGTGTGTGTGTGTTGCACAACCATAGGCAATATTTCAAAACCGAGTGGTTTGCAGTTAACTTTTGTTTTATGGAACGGGGAAAGTGACTCTTTGCTATAAGAATTTCTAAATTAAACCAGCCGTTGCAAGTTATTTGTCTATAAAATTTTAATATTAATGAAATTTGTGTAGTAATTAACAACAAGGCTGTGCTTCATAAACTAAAGCTAGTGAATATTAGATTGTTTCCTCCTTTTTGCTCAATGTAAAATATACTAATTAAGCGTTAGGTAAAGAGGCTTTATCATAATCAAAACATTTGGGTTATTTGTAGTCAACGAGTTTTGCATAGCCTACCCCTCAGTACCCTTTTAGTTGTAAGTTTTACCTAACAATTGACTTCCAGTATTTTTTATTAAATTAAATACACTTATTAGTAAGTGTATTTTATAACATAAAATCATATATGTCTATATACAATTATTGTTTGCACTCTTATAGCATACTAGCTAGTCGAAATAAGTGTTCTTAGGCTGAGGTAACGAAAACGTGCAATTATCATGCTATATAATTCAGTTCATTTTAGTTTCTAAATTGCGTTTTTAAAATGGTGGTTGTGAAAACATTATTAATGCATTTTCAAAGAACTAATATTGTCTCCTTTGCATAATGACACCGTTGCATTGCACGACTATAGCAACTAGCTACATTTTGAAAATGAAAGTGGTTACCAGTATTTTATACATCATATTCATTCACTCTCTGTAAAAATGTATATCAAAATGATACTTACAGTTCTTTTTTTATCTTTTAGTTGATAGTTGAAACGGTTTTAAACAAATTCCACAATCATTTTGTTTTCCTCTAAACTAGTGTCTGAATGTTGATTGGTAATGTTACTTATTTAAAACTATCTATATGTGTTTAAAATTACGATAACAAGTTATATTCAGGGGATATGTCCGTTTAAATTTTATGTTAATTGTACCCTGATTAACTCAAGATTATGTTTAACTATTTCTCTATGTAAAAAGGGTTAAGCTAGTAAGCCAATCAAATGTTTGTCGTTAACAAAAGCGTGTAATGTTTATTGGATATTTTGAGGAAACTTTGACAAATCAAAACTTGTCTGCGAACAACTTTAGAACTCTCTTATCTGCTTCCACTTGGACGGAATAATTTCTCATTAGTCCTTGTCTTTAACGGATATTTGATTTTTATTACTTTTGATGTACAAATTATAATGTTAAGTAAAATAAATATACAAAGGTTTAAAAGGTACGTACCATTGTAGTCTCTAATTAAGTATTACTCCGTTAAATTAAGGCTCATTTTACTACAATACACTTTGGGGAGTAAGGTAGAGCTCGTGACTTCGAAGCCCAAGATCCCGGGTTCAAATCCCGCCAATCACCAATAGATTTTATCCATGTTATAATTTCGCAACCCAATAGGACTAGCCTGAAGTAATGTGTAAACAGGTTCCAGGCTAGTACCTATGATGTAAAGGTGTGACATAATACCCCCGCTGCAGCAAACCTGCCAACTAAGCGAATTTCCATTTGCCTGGATTGATTTTCAATTAATCTATAAAATTAACATTTATGTTTAAAGAGTACCTAGGTTAGCTGCTACAGGGAAACTAATAAAGTGTGTTTTTTTATTAAAATATCAATAGCTTAGTATGAAATAAATAAATCCGGTAAGTTTGATCAAAATATATCCATAAAGAAGCTAACTACAACATTTAACAAAATATCCATAAGAATAACATAGGAATTTTAAATTAAAAATTTTCTTTTTAAATTAAATTAAATTTTAGAATCTTCTCCAAAACCATTCACCATACAAAACACTTTGATATACTAAATTATTTGTTTCTTAAGCTCTTTCAAAATTTCTGGAGAAAAATTGATAAATGTTGTGTTTTAATCGTAAAAACCCCATTTTTACCCCATAAAACCCACTGTTAAACCCCGTTCCCATGGTCCGATCATGCTGGTTTGCGAACTCATTCAAGCTTATCCCACCTTACACCTTCAAACCAAATTTTATCAAAATCGGACAAAAAATACTCAAGTTATCGTCCGAACGGTCACACACACACACACCCCCACAGAGACGCATATATATATTTATATATATAAAAAAAATTTGAACGAATGGTGTTTTTGGCCTCTAGGGACATAAAAATTAAAATAAAAAGTAAATCGGTCCCAAGCCTAGGTCTTACCATGAGACCTAGTGA